GGCCTCGCGGCGGCGCCCGCGTAGGCCCCCGCCAGGCCCCCGCCAGGAACCCGTTTGGATACATTTCCCTGCCCCTCCGGCCGCCTCCGGCCGGGTGCGCTCGTTAGAGCACTCTATAAACGCGCGGATTAAGAGAGTCGGTTTGCGCAACCACGTTACGCCCCGCGGTGCTCCGCCGCTCCGCCGCACTGATGGATGTGAGGCGTGCGCCCGCCGCACAACACGGCCTCGACTGACCCGCGGGACAAACGCACTGTCGCAACCAGCACGTTAGTCGCGCCTCTTGTTTGCTCTTGGGTCTAGACGGGTGCGTTCTATGCTCGTGCCAAAATATAATGTACAAGTAGCGTGCGCTACTGAAAACAAAACATGGACGTTCGCCAGGAAAAGTCAACCAGAAGGCAAATACCTTTGTATTACAAAAAGAAAAGTTGTTACTGTTGTGAGTCGCACCGCACACCGGAAACAAAAATTTTACATCCGATGTACGTTCTTTTGATTACGAAACGGATGCCTGTGGATGTTCTCACGCAGGGAGGATCGTCTCCTGATTTATCCCCGTTAGACTAGACACACTGCCATCATCCTGCTACAACAACTCTTATTTATCGTGCGCTATGGACCTACATGCAGTGTATTGAGTCCATGTGTACACGTTGGTAATCGTAATCGAACTCCCGCTCCTGTGGTTTTTCATTCATATTTACTTTCTGATTGATTCCCGAGCCTCGGCCTTCTAATTCCCCACAGACGCTGCGGCTGTTGGCCTGGCATTGCCCACCTGAGCCGTCGAGCCACCGAGCCACACCCACTCTCAGCCAAGGCTTGGCCTCGCCTCAGTAGTGCTGGATTGTCAAGGGTCTAATAACGTTTTGTGATCGTTTTTCACTCCTGGGTCATTGTCGGGTTAGAACGGGAATCTCTAAAGAGCTTTTGGTATAATCATTGGCCACACAGCTCGAGCCACGGGGAAGAATCGTCAGTGAGTAATCGAGTCGGTATAGTAGATTTAACATGGGTGTCTTTGGCCATTTTCAGGTGCCATAGGCCACTTTTGTTATCCTTGTCAAAATTCATTTTGGGCTGTGATTAGCATACTGAAACAGTGGAGAGAGCGAAAATGACAGTTTGCACAGCGCTTCGCTTTTCTTGATGGAGGTTGTCATGATCATCTAGTCTCGTAGGTCATGTATCATAAGTCCCGAAGATGTACTACAACGATGATTATTAACCACAATTTTGAGTTAGCTCTTGTTGTGTATTTTCATACGTTGGCAGCTTTGAGTTGATTGTCACCTGTTCACCTATTTAAATCTCAATCTTGTGGTGTGAATAAACCAGTCTTCAATCTGAACTGCTATCACTCCGTCATTTCTCCAGTAACCTCAGCAGCACAGAACTGTATGCTCTCATTTATATTTTCATTGTTTGTTTCATTGTTTCTAAAATAGTCTCCCCTTACAAATGAATGAGTGCATCTGATACTGTAGTTGTACGCCTCATTTGACCTACGTGAAGAAATTGTGGCCACTTAAGGCCTGTAGAACAAACTGCCTCTTGAGTGAATGTGCCAAATCGTCGGCATTTCATTCCATCAGAACCACAAGCGTACCGCAGAACTTTCTCGGTTACAAACCGAAGTCTAAAACAGGACCCTCCCACCGTCGTCGGTTGCCTTGCCGCTGTCGGTGACAAGACAACAAAACCAAAAGCAAATCCACGAGTAGCCCAGCGTGTACGGCGGTGTCCTGTGTGCTCAGTGTGTTTGACTTCCGCCGATAGACTCATAGTGCGCCGGGGGTTGGCGCCGGGGGTGGCGGCGCGCCGGCCCGTCACCTATTTGCGAGACGTAAAGTAGGGGGCCGGGGCTCGCCAGGCAGGCCAGGGCCAGGCAGGCCAGGCAGACCTGGCGGCAGGCAGGGCAGCATTGTTGGTTTAGGGAGGTAATTGCAGTGCTTAGCCCTGCCCCGTCGGCGCTGCCCTGCCTGCCCCGTCGGCGCCCCCACCAGGAACGCCCCCCGAGGGCCTCTGCACGCCCACGGCCCGGCTCGAGGAGGCTGCGGCCGTCAGTACGAGCCTCTCAGTGTGCGCCATGACCCCAGACAATCTTCACTATCATACATAGCTAATCTTGTTCCTTGTACTTCATCTGACGACATATATGTTTGTATACTTCAGAAAGCTGCACAAGCGGAATATCTTAGATGACACGCATACAGCCATTTAAGTTAGTCACTTCAGGAAATACGTATCCAAGTACAATGCAATGTATACATTGCGACAGTGCTCCTTGAACTTGTATGCAGGAGCTCGTTGAGTAGTGCAGAAGATCACTACTTATCTTATTTACGATGTGCATCGAAAAACTATAGTGCTCCTTACTGTTTGTTTTTGTTTGAGGTTTTTTGTGCCCATGCAGTAGGAGAAATGCACAAAACTGAAAGAGAGGCACCAGACAAAAATGATGTTCTACTGTTCGTCCAAACTAATGTGCTTATTATTCTTCCTCGATTCCAGGCTCAACACAACGATGACCCTCCATCCTCCCACCGCGTCGGCGCGTCGGGCCGTCCTGCGCTTCTGGAGCTATCAACGTGAAAAAAATGTTCCTTATAAGAGGCACGAGGAGTCCAATTTAGAGCCATTTCACGGCGTTGATAAGGTGAGTTTTTGTTCCGCACCAAGCGCGGGTCAGGTCAGAGGCCTATTGACCCGTGGAAATCTCAGGTAGTTTGTAACGTCCGTCCTCTCTCCACACGCACGCCGAGCGGGCTGGCGCTGCGCTGGCGCCACGGGAGAAAGGGAGAGGGGATGCACAGAGGGAGAGAGGGGCCCCGGCGGGGCCCGAAAGGGGGGAGGGGCGCCAATGCTGTTGCACCTGTTTGCGTTGCAAGTCGCGCCGACCAGATCGTTTCCGTTCTACAGGTTGCGTGGTGGTAATGGGGAGGGGGCAGCAGCCTGGCAGCAGCACGGCACTGAATGGCGGACTGGGGCAGGCACTGCCGGCTGGAACATTTAGCAACGATTAGCGTTTTACAAAGCTTTCCTAAGCAAACAGAGGGCTTTTACTGTTTCCATCTCTCTTCACGTGAAATCACCCCCCCCCCCTCTCTCTCTCTCTCTCTCTCTCTCTCTCTCTCTCTCTCTCTCTCTCTCTTTCCCCGTGCCTTGTGGTACGCCCTGGAACTTCAGGAAGAAAAGACGGAAAGAGGGAGATGTAATTGGCGGCGAATGCAATCCTTTTGCCGTGAAAATACTCAATGGCAGGCCGGACACGACACTGTTGAAGTTCACATGGAGTGGAAGTAGTTAGGCCCAATCTGAAGATGTTTCTTCATTTTTTCCACCAGTGGAGCTATGGCATCTGTTGAACAATGTAGGCTACCAGGTGGCTGAGGACCCCACTCACTTTTGTACTATGCAACCCACCCACCCGGTACGCAAGTACGCGGGGGTAACCCGCCAGTCCGCTTACTCGCAGGTAAGCGGGGATCACTCACGGGTCAGCTGGGGCAGCTCGCGAGTCCAAGGGTTAGCTGACCACAATCGCGGACCGCGAGCCATCCCCTCTGCAGGATCAGGGGACCGCAATCTACCCCCGCGGCGGGATACGTGGACTGCAAACTACCCCCGTGGCAGGGAACAGCGACACGCCCCCTGTAACGCCCCTGGTCGTTGGCTGCATCAATAGAAGGAGCGACGCGTTGGCACTTCGAGCCGGTCCCTTGCGCCTGGTTGGTATGCTCCGGATGGAGTTGTGCGGGTGGGTTGCATAGTACAAATGTGAGCGGGTTTGGGGTTATGCCACCTGGTATTGTACAGTTCATACAATGACAAAATGAAGGTACGATGTCGTGCCTTTTCAGGGGTGCTATGAAAAAATAGTAACTCTGTTATGGCACCTTTGTTTTTCCATTGAGCTCATTACAATCTACTAGTGAGAAATATGTAACTTTTGTTAAGTTGTCTGTGTTACATCTAACACATTGAGACGTAAGCATATATACACATGGCTTTAGTGCCCCTGTGCGTGACAGTTGGAACCTGTTACTCACTTTTCGAGAGGGGCCGTGCTGGTATTCATGGCGCAGTTGGCCGCGCTGGCCGCGCTGGGGACTGGAGCAGCGCGTCCCAGCTGCTGGACCGGAGGCTCGCGCCCGCGGCGGCGCGGGGCGCGCCGGGACCCTTGGAGGGAACGGCCGGGCCGCACGGCCGGGCCGCGGCAGTGGACTTACCTGTATTCTGGCCGTAACGCACCGAGATGTTTTATGTGTAGAGCCCTTCTTTTATGCCCCGGTGGGTGTAAACAGCAGGGCGAGGCGCCGCGGTCCCCTGCCGGCTCCCCTGCCGGCTCCCCTGCCGGGTCTGGCCCTGGCGCGTTACAGGTGGCGGGCCCTTCGCGACCCCCTCGCGGGAGCCGGAGCCAGTGAAGCCCCGAATCAGGCCGCCGACATAAAGGCCCCGCCCCACCTCGCTCTGCGCTGTTTGGCGCGCCATTCGCGGAGTCCTTCCGAGTCGCGGGAACCGACACAGCAACAAGAATTTCGAGTTGTTTGTTTTCCCCGACCCCTCCCCCCTACTTTGTTTTCCGGCAGCGCAATGCCCGTCACCTGGTGGAGACTGATTTCTTTTAAAGGGCATGGCGTTTCAGGCCTGTGGTGATGGAGGCCCTGGTGGCCAACGGCGTGCAGTTCAACTCCAACACCACGACGCCGAACACCCTGAAGGTCCGCCTGCTGCATCAGCAATCGGCTCTCTGAGCCGTTCATCACGGAGTGATTTGTCGCAGGGCTGCAGCGTCTATAGGGAGGGGAAGGGGGTAATTATAAACGCGCCTCCAGAAATGAGTTATTCACCCACTCGCTGCAAGTTTGATGCACGCTGGCGCGGTGGTGGCGGCGTCATCCGGAGGCAGCAGTGAGAGGGGGGATGGGAAGGGGCCCTACGCCAGTAGGACAGTAAATCACATGGGCATGAAAAAAATGAGAGAAATAAGAGGGAGAAGGGGTGTATGAAACAGTCTTGAAGAATTAGTGATATCCGTCCTGGCGTTTGGCGTTCAATCTTCGTCTCCTGCTGCTCACCATTGCAGAGATATTTAGCCTCCCCTCATTTTATTGGTGGAAACAGCGCCCTCGTAGAAATAATCGTCGGTGTCGCCGTGCGCTGTGCTTCACAGCTTAACTTATCATCGTTTGAAAATATCGCCTCTAACGGCCCTCGGCCCTCATTGTACTTGTTCAAATGAAAACATATCTTTCTTGAAAAAAAATATAGAAAAAGTAATTTTTTTCCTGCATTTTTTTAAAACAAAAACATTTTCTCCAAAGCAATGTTGTTCTCATTTCTTCTGGGGAGTTCACAGTTGAAACCTTACGAAGCAAAATGCCAAATCATTCGTACCTCCAAAACAACATGATGTGCATATCTTCTTTTTATATCAACTTTTGGACACCTCGCTGCAAAATTGTGGGTGCGTTTCCTGTCCGGTGTGCACTGTGTCTGCGTGCAGTGCCGGTGCGGTGGTCGGCCGTGTTGAGCCGTGACCTTGCCTTGCCCTGGACCTTGTGCGTGTGTATAACGGGCGCCTAGCGGAGCAGCAGGCACTGCTGATGTTTGTACTATGTACGGATAGGCTGTAATGCTGTGGCTAAGAATTTGCTTTGCTCATACTGTACCGTTTGTTGATTCTAGTAAAGCTGGTTACGCTATGTGGACTCAGAAAACACCTGCTGTGATGTGTGGCAGTGTGGCGGCGACATTTCTCTTGGCATTCTGTCACTTCATTGCATCCTATAGTTTTGGTGAGCTCTGTGCCAAGGCCCGAACGGCTCACAGCCGCTACGCGCCGCTCCAGGCCCCGAGCCGACAGGTTCAGATGCGTTTCGAACGTTTTTAGTCCTTTTTATCGACAGAGGACACTCGGCCCTATGCCGCCCAGCCTGGCGAGAGCCTGGCTGGGGACCGGGCGGACACTTTATTTGTCGTTTCTCCAATCAATAATTTTGTCTCCTTCCTCCGGACCCAAACACGGCCAGCACACCGCTGCTTTCCTTTTCCCGTGTCATCGGGTCGACCACTGCGCCCGCATGAGTGTTTATCGGATACACGCGTAGGGCCAGTGGGTGTGATGTCGAGACTCAACGGAAATGTTATCTCGTAAGCATTTCATTCTCCTATTCAGTGAAGGTACCTCTTTTAAAATCACACCAAATGTGGGTATTAGCTGAGCAAACATAACAAACCCTTACATAATGACCAAATTAATAATTATCCGTACGAGTCGAGTGGTGAACCCAGAAAAATCGTTTCTTGTCTCAAGTAAATTTTTCCTTGCTTCTGCTTCAAGTGCACGCGGCACCAGATCAAATTTCCTCTTGAAACAAGCTGACATTTTGACATTTTCTTTCCAATAAGAGAAAAATATTATTCCAAAGACAATATTGCCTTTGCTTCAATGGTGAATTTCATCTTGTGTCAGCTAGTAAATAACTAGTTCCCGTATGTAGCACTGAGCATACAGCTAATTACTTTTTTCTCTTACTGTATCCATTAGTTTTCTGTTCATTGACCTTGTTTCAGAAAAGAGTCAACTTGTTACAAAAATGCTCTTAAAATAAGGGCAATGAACTTGAAGTAAACAAGTTCAAGTACACGAACTACAGCCAAGAAACGCCTTTTCGCCTTTTTGTGACATCCACTTCTTGGCACTCTCTGCTTGTTCTTTTATCCACCTTTTCACCTTCTAAGAATGCCCTTCCTCCCCTCTATCCTTCCACCTCGTGGTGTAAATTTTAAAATGGAGGTGAAAAATAATAAACAAAAATAAAAAGAGTTACGCCGTTGGCGCGCGACGCATGTCGAGGTCCAGCGGAACACTTTGTCTCCGTCACCACTGCACCTGCAATGAGCGCGAGGTGACAACGAGACGCCAAGTGCATTTAGCACACCTGCTGCCGGCCTCCTGCTGAGAGCTGCAGTTTTGTTGAGAAGCATTCTGCCGACTGGCTTGCGGCAGCAGCAGCAGTGCTTCTGCGCGCCCACCTTCCTTTGGACGTGATGTGGACGCCAAGTCCCCATGATCTGGCCATCGCTTCGAAAAGTCTTGTAACGTCAACATCGTACGGCATTGGACTACTTTAATCTAGTCTCGTGTCGTCCTAGCATTATACTGATATGCTGACTTTAAGTTATGCAAAGTGTCCAACTACCTACTTTACTGTTGCTTAGCGAGTGAGCGTATTGTACGCTACGATATAGAAGAGTGTCCCCGCACACGAAGGCGCTGCACGCCTGCATGCAGTACCGCCCCCAAGCAGTACAGTGTTTATATGGGATACACTGTGTATTCAAATTTTGTGGCGGATGTTCGGTGAACACAAAATCGTCATCATATTCCACTTTTTAGCTCTATTTGAACCCAGTGTTTTTTTCTTTGCTTAGGGTTTTATAAGCCTTGCACACTTGTGGTGCTGCTTTGCACGAGGACATATGTCCCGCTTTCTTATTCTTACACCTCTCATGCATATCATAAACGTCCTCTCTTAGCCCTGCTGGCGGAGCCCCTTTAGTCCCTCTGTGTGATCCTTCCCTTTCGCTTCACCAGTCCCCCAACGACCCCCGGCCCACGCGCGTCGACGCTTAGCCGCCCCAGGGCAGACGGTCTGCCGCCTAACGATGTCACACAGTGATTCACGCCATGTGTTTTCTGCATCGACACAGGCCCTGCCGGCTGCAGTGTCTGTCATTCTCTACCTCTGGTGGGGCCCGTTGGCGGCCCGCTGGCGGCGAGCGGCTTGTCTTTGACTGATAATTGGAGCTGGCGGCTCGCGACGGAAGTCCTGCTCCTCTCCGCCGCAAGCGCGGGCCGGCCGGGGCAGCAGTGCTCGGAACTGACGTGCGAAATGCCACACATGTGCTGCTATTGGTAGGAAGCGCTCTGCACGTATCTGGGGAGTCGCTTTTCTACAGATCCTGTTCGAGCATTTGCCAACGTGCTAAGATTCAGCCAAAGCTTAAAGAATCGTAGTATTCTTAGTTTGGATTTCAGAGACTGACATGCAGAATAATTGTGTGAACCAAATATTTGTCCATGTTATTGTTTGGTATCCATTCTGCTTTTTACTGAGCCATACAGAAGTCTAGTCAGCCAGACCGCCAGACCAACCAAAAAAAAAAAAAAAAAAAATCCAAAATAAGTACATTACTTTTGCCAAGAATTTTTTTACGCGCGTCAAATTGACTATAAACAATATTGCTTTGGAAGTACTTGGGCAAGTACCTTTTTAGACTATGTTCTTACTTCGGTCGCGGTTTCAGTCTCAAACTAAGTACCTCAAGCGCAAATAATGGTGTGAACTGGTTTTCATTCAAATCGGTACTATTGTGCACAGTAAAAACAACAAAAGTAATTACTTTTCTTGAATCGAGAAAGTTTTTTTAGTGTGTGCTAGCAATGAGCCCATTGCATTTCTACTGGGTCTCGATGGCGGTTCTTTTTGCGGGCATATCTGCAGCCAGGAATAACAGTGTCGTCAATTCGGTGATAG